GCCCCTGGTCTGGCTGGCACTGGTGGGCCGCCCCTGGTCTGGCTGGCACTGGTGGGCAGCCCCTGGTCTGGCTGGCACTGGTGGGCCGCCCCTGGTCTGGCTGGCACTGGTGGGCCGCCCCTGGTCTGGCTGGCACTGGTGGGCCGCCCCTGGTCTGGCTGGCACTGGTGGGCCGCCCCTGGTCTGGCTGGCATAGGTCAGGATGCCAGTACCTGGCTGGAAGTTATCCTCTTGCAGACAGGAAGTGTTATCTTCTCTGTCCGCTCGCTCTATGATTCCCCGCTGGTTCTCCTAGAACACCCGAGCAAAGTGGGGCGGATGGTCGGAGGCGGTCGGGTGACCCCGGAATGCCTGCGGCACCTACTGGGAAATTTCGGCCTGTCAGATAAATGTGTGAATTGTATAAAGAGGCGGAGAGCTTCCTTTATTACTGGCCAGGTGGGTGTCTCTGGGGTCAGGCAGGGTTGCCATTTGAGCCCTCTCCTGTACGTCTTCGGGGATCGACCCCCTTCATAGGAAGGCTAGATTGTGAGCTTCGGGGGGGGGAGATGTCTCGGGGGCCCTGCTCTGAGGGACTGTCTGGCTATGGTCCTCGAGGGCCCTCCTGAATTCTTCTACAATTCCTGGTAAGTTTTGGGATCTTGCACGGAGGTCGTTTCATGGCCGTCCTGCAGGACGGAGGCTGACTTCCTCTAGAGTGGGGGGCGGGCGGTGGAGACCATGGACCACTTCTTGGTGCAGTGACCTTGCAATATGGAGGTTCACAAGGGGGGCGGTAGCTGTAGGCTGCTCCTGCCTCCCCCGCCTGGCCTAGTCTGACCGGGTCTCTGGAGCCGTCAGGGCGAGGAGTGAGGTTGAGTTGACGTCATTGCACTTCGCTTAGTAGCCCCGAACTGCACGTGAGGTGTCCACTGGGGTCCCTGCCCATGAGGTGGTGGGAGACATCTTTCCGGAGTTCCCCTGAAGGAGCAGTTTATGGAGGGGCTTCTCCTTCCAGCCTCCATGGTGATGGGTTCTCTTTAGATGTTGTATCTGGTGCTCGGTCTGAGGAGAAGAATGGAGGACTCGCTTGTCATGTTATAGCAATGTACGGGCGAGTCGTGGCATCGGGGGATGGCGCTCTGTCCTCAGACTCTGATTGGATGGCGCTCTGTCCTCAGACTCTGATTGGATGGCGCTCTGTCCTCGGACTCTGATTGGATGGCGCTCTGTCCTCGGACTCTGATTGGATGGCGCTCTGTCCTCGGACTCTGATTGGATGGCGCTCTGTCCTCGGACTCTGATTGGATGGCGCTCTGTCCTCGGACTCTGATTGGATGGCGCTCTGTCCTCGGACTCTGATTGGATGGCGCTCTGTCCTCGGACTCTGATTGGATGGCGCTCTGTCCTCGGACTCTGATTGGATGGCGCTCTGTCCTCGGACTCTGATTGGATGGCGCTCTGTCCTCGGACTCTGATTGGATGGCGCTCTGTCCTCGGACTCTGATTGGATGGCGCTCTGTCCTCGGACTCTGATTGGATGGCGCTCTGTCCTCGGACTCTGATTGGATGGCGCTCTGTCCTCGGACTCTGATTGGATGGCGCTCTGTCCTCGGACTCTGATTGGATGGCGCTCTGTCCTCGGACTCTGATTGGATGGCGCTCTGTCCTCGGACTCTGATTGGATGGCGCTCTGTCCTCGGACTCTGATTGGATGGCGCTCTGTCCTCGGACTCTGATTGGATGGCGCTCTGTCCTCGGACTCTGATTGGATGGCGCTCTGTCCTCAGACTCTGATTGGATGGCGCTCTGTCCTCGGACTCTGATTGGATGGCGCTCTGTCCTCGGACTCTGATTGGATGGCGCTCTGTCCTCGGACTCTGATTGGATGGCGCTCTGTCCTC